TCAAGCAGCTATTTGACGTAATTTATTACGAATTGTTTTTTATTGAACACGTCCACATAATTATTAATAAAAAACTGGATTAATAATTGTTAGGCGAATCTCATGAAGCATGTCAAGTCTGGCTCATACATCACACAAAATCCATGGTAAAAATAAGAAATTATATTTTGCATTAAGAAAACGACCATATTTTAGGATCATTAGGAGTTTTGTTTACATATTTTACCACACATTTTACCCCAAAATTATCATTACTAAAAGGATTTTCTTTTTTCTCAATAGTTATTCTCATTACGTTCTCATTATTATTGTACAATAATAAAATTCAGCCTGTCTGGGCGCATTATATAAAAACAAAAGCTACCAAGTATAAATACACTTTATTTTTAATTATTTTAATTTAATTTAATTTTCTTTATGCAAAATATTAATATATTTTATAAATGGTTTTTATAAATATTTTATTTTATCAATTTTATTTTCAAATTCTAACTTGTGTCTTGTTTCATCTGATTTTGAGGTGAAATATGACTCTTCACATTTTTCGAGAGATTCACCCAACAAGCTACAGCACAATGAGTCAAAACATACGCTTGCACAGATTGAAACCCATTTTCTTTTTTGAACAATTCTGTCTTTTGTGTTCATATTGTCTTCTATCTCTAGCTACTATGTCAAAGCAGACACACAGATTTGTTTGAAGAATCACATACATTTAATTTCATTGCATTTTAAGATTCTTTTCAGTAATTCTTTGAATAAACAAGGTAACACTTTATATTAAGTTGTCCCATTTGTCCTTTGTTACATATATGTAGTAATAACATAGTAATGAAGTAGTAATTGCACAGTTATAAAACAGAAAAAATATTAACATTTCTAAAAATATACAGGCATAAATCAAACCACTGACATCAGCTCTTTATAACATTTGCATAGCAAATTAATTATGAATTAAATTATCCAAAACTAAGCACTTAATATAAAGTGTGACCAACGTGTGCCAATATGTAAAAATCAAAGCCCTGAGGATGATTTATGGGAATTTTTCTATTGTATAAGACTAATTTCACTTCACATTTATGAAAAACACTGTAATTAAGTGCCCTTCATCACACACACACACACACACACAAACACACACACAGAGTCTAGCTGAAGTTTATCTTTAGTTGTAGTTTTTGCAGTGCTAGTTAGAAATCAGTTTTCATTATATTTAATCTCATTTCTAGTTTCTCATTAGTTTTCTTCAGTCTGACTGATTTCCATTCAGGCATTAAATATGAAACCCATTAAGGAAGATGCAAAGAGATCTTGCGGGATAAGAAAGTAAACATGAGCAGGTCCTAACCAGATGTGAAGCAACACGTTTCTTGTGTTGTTCGATCCGTCTGTGCTCAAACATGACACAATCACAGCCAGTCAGATGATATTTGACATTAAATATATTTAGTTATATGGGCCAATGAGAGTAGCTCTATCACACCGGGTCCGGTTAGGACACTTCAGAAGTTACGTGATTTCAGATGGGCGAGTGTTTGGGATGCTATTTTGCGGTGAATTTCTGCTGGATGAGCTTGTATCTGTTGAGCTGCTGCTCAGAGACGGACGGCTGAAGGCCTGCCAGAGCCTGTCTGAAGTCTTCTGAACACAGAGTCAGAGCGCTGGCCTCTGAATCCACACCTGCATCACAGACACAGAGATGACGAAAGAGTGAAGGCAAGTAGTGCAGACACTGAGAAAGAAGCAGCGAGACAGACAGAGTCAGGCCAGAAACATCCTCTACTCAACACACACGTGAACGCTTGACCAACACATTGCCAAAGCACAGGGTTAAGATGAGGGGAAATTACTGCATAGCGTTTGTGTTCACGTACTTGCGTAGAGTTTGTTTTTAGGCTCAGAGCGAGTAGCTGGAATATGGACACATGGGTTTCATGCATAAAATGTACTTTTCATTTCTTCTTTCATGTCTCTATCCTCTAAACTTTAACCAATAAAGATCTCAGGTGTAGAACTGGCAAATGCACAGACACTGTTTTCATGTTTTGTTTATTAATAGATTGCAAATGTTTGAACATGCTGATGAGCGTCAAGCTGACGGATCAGTGAAGATGAAAGATGAAGGATCAAAGGAGTGTTTTCAAGTTCCTACACACAACTAATGAACAAGTGTCACTTCTTATTCATTTATTGAATAATATTTTTTTATTAAACTTATTATTATTTTAATTATATATATTTCTAATAACAATATATTTTATATTTTAATATTTACAATTTAATATATATATTGTATAATATATATATATATATATATATAAAACACACAAATACTGAAAGACCTTAAGTGACTTCTTATTGAAAAATAATAATTTTTTTATGTGTAAACTACATTATGTGTAATTGTTTATACTGTAATTATTCATAATTCATATTATGTCAAATTATTTATTATAATTAAGATTTTGTATGTTTTTGAAAGAAGTATTGTGTTCAGATTTCAATTTATGTAATCAAAAACAGTAATATATAAACAATATAAACAATGTGTCGTCAGAGTTGGTATTTTGGCTTTATATATGACCAGACACTTGCACTTAACTTTTTTCTGAAAATCATGCTCAAATAGAGTTAACAAGGTTTTTGACGAGCGAGTGACAGAGATCTGTGTTTTGTGTCATTAAAACGGTCGAATGTGAGGCAGTAAATTATCACATAACCTTTCATCAATTTACAGGTTATAAAATGTATTGTCGCTATATGGGCGCTCAGCTTTTCTTGTTGTTTAATACATTTGGCCAAAATCTCATGATATAAAAGATGAACCGCTATGCACGGGATATTTAAAACATACAAAAGTGTATTGGCTACAACTAGATCGCAAAAGCTTAGACTCTTCTCCACTCTTCAAACACTTATTCAAAGATCAGTTTTTTTATTTACCCTTGAATTGCGAAGAAATAGACATCTGTCTTCAACCTGCGTGGAGGCGGAGTTATGAGGTTTGACTGACAATTTGAGGATCCAATGGTGTTACGAGGTTTAGTCACAAGCTCTTTTGAATGCTTTTCATTGGTTAAATATTTGTAAAATCCACAAACTGACATAACTATGACCAATAGCACTAAATATAATAGAGATAGGAAGTTTTTGATCATTTTCCACGGCACACCCGACAACCTGTCAGTGATATATAGTGCTGTCAGGCAGTGCTGAAGGCAAGTATCATTGATGCCGATACTACTAATGTCTCCTAATATTTAACCATTGACTATAACCATTTAACATTACAGTATAATTGAGAGCTATCAATTTTAACATTTATTAGACTTAAAAAAAAATAACTTCTAGTTTAAGTGAACTTAAAACAATCTTCGCATAAACCCTTTATAATAAATGTCACCTGTGCCCTTCAGCAAGTAGGAAATATACAGAAATTGACTAAAGTTATCAAACACTAAATTCTAAATTAAATATAGGTGAATCCTAAAGCTACAAAAGTTATTGATTTTCTCTCTTTTCTTTTGTTCTTTGATGAACAGACATCACAGCAGCTGGGTTATTAGGTTATTTGGCTGCTATTACTTTAAGAGCTGCCGTTGCTGAACGTGACATGGATCTGACACGAATGCTTGTTATGTATTAGGTTATTTCAAGAGGGTCTGGCTGCAGACTTTCTCTCAGACACTTGCGCTTCCGCTAGTGACATCACTTGCAGTCTTTATTTTTTATTTTGTTCTATTTATTTATTATTTTTTGTTTGAATCTCTCAACATTTTACAACAGTAGCCAGGTGGTGAAGACAAGAAAAAAGAAACTAAATACGAAGTCACTTGCAATCGCCACTTGCACTCTCCGCTGTACCTGCGACGTCACTTGCAATCGACACAAATCGTGCATGTTGCCAATGGAGACAAGACGCTGTGGTGGTGATTAAACGATTAAAACTAATTTAGTAGGCTACCATAACGTACAGGGTCCTGCAAGTCATCTGTAGAAGAAAAAGACAAGACCCGCAAATCTGTGGCCACAGAACAGCAGAATATGAACGCAATGCACAAAGTCTCTCGCTAAGTGTTTTCCTCCTGTAGAAAAACATAAACACTTAATATGGCTTAATGTATTAAGATGCTATTAAAATATCAAATTCAATATACAGTTTATTAATATAATGAATAATGTATAGCCTATAGTATTTTCCTCCCATACCGCAAAACGTGGCATAATGTGGCATAATGGACTAAGATGATAAAGACCAAACTCAATATGCTCCTCTTCATTATTAAAATATACATAACTAATATGTACAGGCAAGCAGGTGAGCCCAGAATAAATGCAACACGCAAACCTTCGCGTTAAGCGTTTTTCCATATAGAATAAACTGCCTACAGCTCTTTTATATCATTGTCTTTGTCCATTAAGCTACATTACGTGTTTTATTTATAATGATTTTCTATAGGAGGATAATGTTTAACGTTACCGCATTGCGTTCTGGTCTCGTCTACTTGCCTGTACGGAGTTGATGCTTTTAATATCACTTAATGCATTTCATAATGCACGTTCATATTTGTTGGTCTGTATATACTTTGAGTTAACAAGACATATAGACTACTGAATTGTCTTTATAATCTTAGTCCGTTGCTGTATGGGAGGACAAGTGAAAGTTTGCGCATTGTGTTCATGACCATCTGCTTGCCTTGTAGTACAATAAATAACTATATATCAAATTTGATCTTTTAATTGCACTTAATGTAGGCCTATCTTAATACATTAAGCCACATTAAGTGTTTATGTTTTCTACGGGAGGAAAATGCTTACGAGAGACTTTGTGCATTGCGTTCATATTCTGCTTTTCTGCACAGTTATTTGTCTTGTCTTTTTCTTCTACAGATGACTTGCAGGACCCTGTACGTTACGGTAGCCTACTAAATTAGTTTTAATTGTTTAATCATCAAAGCGTCTTGTCTCCATTGGCAACATGCACGATTTGTGTCGACTGCAAGTGACGTCGCAGGTATCGGAGAGTGCAAGTGGCGATTGCAAGTGAATTCGCAATTTAGTTTCTTTTGTCTTGTCTTCACCACCTGGCTACTGTTGTAAAATGTTGAGAGATTCAAACAAAAAGTAATCAATAAATAGAACAAAATAAAAATAAA